TGTGCTTTGCAGTCGTATTTACTTTACTATTCGTTTATTAATTCTATATAAATTCTATCTAAATCCGTCCTTACAATGTATATACAATGTCAAAGTGGCCCTTACCAAATTCGCAAATTCGACATATGCTTCGCGAACTTCCAGTTGGTTCTACTGATCATCCATTAGGCCCTCTTTGGCAGGCGTTTCATCCAATTAAAATTGATAAAAGGCTTAAAGCCAAATGCATATTTTGTAATGCTGATAAGCCTATATCTGGTTCTGCCACAGTAATGGGCTCTCATATTAAAATATGTACGAGCATTCCTTTAGAAGTTTGAAACTATCTTATCAATGCTCAAAATTTTCAACAACAAGAATATTTTCATGATATAGAGGATTAACAAGACATTCAATCTGAAATATCAATTACAACTTCTATGTTAGTTTCAAATTGTAGAAGTAGCAATCAACAATTACTATATGATATAATCAAATCAAACCAACTGATATTGGAAGGTATAATTGAAGGCAACACACCTCTTCTCTTGTAGATGCAAAAAAATTTAAAGAATTCATTTACTCTATAAATAATCTATATTATATTCTATCAAGAAAGCAGCTTTCTAATAATATTCTTGATGAAATTTATACAAATATTTAAACATTTATCAATAAATTTATATATAAATTTACATGAATTACTATTGTCACTAATGGTTAGACAAATATTTATCAAGATCATCTTATTAATTTTATATTATTGGTAAAGATCAGTGATCAGAACTTGTTAAAATTATTGATACACAAAAAAGAAGTCAAGTATCAAAAATAATTTTTAATGATTTGAAGAATGTTTTATTACAAATTGGTCTTAGAAAGATTAATGCAATTGTAACAAATAGCATTGCAAATTATATTTGTATGAGAATTATGCTTATACATATATATTATTTTATTAATTTATTATTAATCTTTATTATATACACTAATTATAGTAATATAAATGTAAAATTATAGCAATATTCAAAATTTTTAATTATACTTTGTTCAGTACATAAATCAAATCTCTTAGTTAATAATATGTTGAAGCATTCTTATATAAAAACAATAATTAGTTCAACTATAAAAGTGATTTTATATATGTAAAAAAATACTCAAACAATTAAGTATATTCGAATATATACTTCTAATAATATATTTTGATTTTTATTACCAATATTTATATAATAAAATTCATTTTATATATTATTATAACAAGTTTAAAAAAGGGACACAAATCATTAACTCTTTTTAATAATCATTTATACCAACTTTCTACAGCACAAAACTGATTATAACTCAATATTTTATTAAATAAACTACTTTTGGGCATTTAAGTAAAATTGTTTCTGGTATAATTTTATACTTAGACAGCTAAGTTTTATATTTCTAAGTTCTTTATTTAAAGAGATATAATAATTAAATACTAAAACTTTTCTATTTACTTTATTATAGAAATTTATTAAGTAAACTGCTTTTGCTTATTAGAACAAACAGAAAGAGCATAAGGGTGTGGCGACCTAGTGAAATGGATAGGTTGTCAATCCCCAAGTGGCAGGTCTAGAGTTCAAATCCAGTGATGATGAAAATTTGGAATTCTTTCTGTATTATGGCTAACTGTCTTCTGTGATTGGTTGGAATAGAATACCTGTAATCTGTGTCATACCAGTCTGACTAGAAGGTCTAGGCATTTGTGCAATGTTGTATAAAGGAACACAAACTGGTACCAGACGGTATAAACCCAAAATAAGTCCTAAGGCCATGTAAATCATAGAAACCAAGTAAGAAGACAGAAGCCTACTTGGAAGACCTGAGTAGAGAGGTAATCTAAACTTTCGACAATGCTACTGTAAAGACTAGACCTATGAAACAGAGCTAGAACTTGTGAAACTGGGCAAAGAGCCAGCCTTTGAGAAGGGGCCAAATGGAACCAACAAGGTTACCAGAATTTCCAGGTTCCAGAGGAAAAGATTACATGCCAGCAAACATGTAACCAAAGGTGCATAGTTACGACCTGCCTTTCTAGGCTATCTGGTTTAGGAGCTTGGTGGAACTTGAATTGAATACCAAAGTAGTAAGGATATGTTGTGAAGTCAGTAGTGGGGTTGGGGTGAACTCTACAAGGGCATAGTGATTAAATGATATGTCCTGACCACCAGTGTTGTCTTGACCATAGTGATATCAGGTCAGCTGTAAGAATAGGATACAGAAGATTCTGAAGGTTTAGTACAAGGTTAAAGGTTCCCCATATGAGTGAACTACTTTAAAGACTTAGTGATCATAGCATATTTGAACTGATATCAATCAAGGCATCTTAATAGGTGTAGGTAGGTGATACGGAAACAGAGTAGTTAAATAGGGAACTTACAAGTAGGTTTCAGGTATAGCAGCTAGTGTAGAACCTTCAGGTGGACTACTTAAATTAGACAATGACTAAAGTTGTATGAGTGACTAATTGTACACTCTTTCTATGATTGCTCCCTGTAGTTGTAATGCAACTATTAGTTAAATGTACTATCAATAAAATCCTGGTTCGCAAGTACTCACCTTAATATTTAAAAAAAAAAAAAAAAACAGAAAGAGCTTATTAATAGCTTCATTTTAATATATTAGTTATCAAATTTGAACCAAATTTGACTAACTTATTAATAAAATACTTGAAACTCTTTTATAAAAATTTTTAAATTTTCTAATTTTTTATTTTTTATTTTTTGGGTGTTTTTTGTAACCAATTCCTGTCCAAACCCACCTAAACAGAATTACTAATCCATATTATACAATCTATTTTTAATAAAATCTAATTATATATTTGTATTCTTTCTAAATTTATATAAATTTATTTAATGACATTCTTGATTTACAAATAGATCTATAAAATATTATATACTACTTTGTAACACTTTTCTATTTGTCACTTCTCTTATATATCACATCTACTTATTTGTCACATTCTTTATTTGTCACACTCTCTTATCTGTTACACCTCTTATTTGTCACACTTTTATATTATTTAAATCTATTTTAATTCAAGAATCTATATATTAAATCTATATTAAAATCTGAAGCAATCATGTCTATATTTATTAGTTAAAAACCAGACCAATATGATTTAAATTATTTTTTAGTTAAGTATGATAACCATTTTGGTGTTATTGTTAAAGAAAATAATCTACAACAAATCAAACCTATCTAATTTGTTGTTTATCTAACTGAATATCACAAAAGAAACAAAATTTATTATTTTAAAGCATCTCATTAACCTTCTGTCATTCTATATCTTTATAAAATATATCATACCTTATTTACTTCTCATCATTACCAACTTCATCAGATCTACAACACCTCCTCTTCTAATTTTTGACTCTATTACTTCTATAGACATAACTTTAAATCAATTTAAGAAAACCAAAGATACTATTTCTTAGTTACCTGTTACCAAAATTTTACTATTCTTTTTCAATTATGACAGCTCATCTAAAACTACTTCTTCTACAATTACAAATCTTAAACCCAATACTGTAGCTATTAAAGCTCATACACAATATATTCATATCTGTATTTTTTGTTACAAATCTAATATTTCATATATTTTTCTTAGTAACAATAAACATTCTTTTGACTCTTTTGCCAAAATTTTATGTAGATTTCCTGCTCATCCTGTTTATATTTCAAATCTCAAATTGAAATTTGCAATTCAAACTTAACCTCTTAATCAACTGCAATATACAATGTTTTATATAACCAAATTTGTTCTTATCGACAAAGTTAAAAAAATCCAAATTTTTAAACAATTTCTTCAACTTCTTAAAAAGAAAAAAATTATTAAACAAAATAAACTCAAAATTTTACAACAAACCCAAGAAAACCTTTTTTATTGGTCTGAAAAATTTCTTATTACTGACAAAATAAAATTATTTACTAACTTTAATACACCATTATCTCAACAAATCTTTGAATTTATTAAACCTTATCTTATTAATTTTGCATTAGGAAAAGTTACTAAACCTGTAACTAAAGAGGAACCAGTCTCAAAATAGAGCTTTAAATATTTTATTAAAACTCTAGCTGGAACCCAACCCAAGTTTCTTACAGATATTATTTATCAATATAACCTAACTATTAATATATTAGTTACTATCTCATTTGATATCTTATATTCAAATTTCAAAGTTCTATTTCACAAATTTATCACTACTCTTTTTACCAAACTTAATTATGCTAAAATCCTTTCTTTATACAAATCTATTTCTCCATATACACTACAAAACTGTTTTTAAGTAGTGATCAATTTGGCTAAAATTCATCTTTATCTTCAAGATGAATACCAAACAATCGATTTTTCAAAATTTGTTAAAACAGTTAACATACTACCAATACACTTTTTTTTAAACTATTTTATTAATAAAGATGCCATTAACTAACCTCTTTTCAAAATACAAAGTGATAAAAAATACAATATCAATGTATCTCTTAACATTCTTAAACAAGATTTTCTCCAAACTTTTTGCATCTCTTTATTTAAAAAATTTAGATCTAATTTTGAATTATGGTTTAAACTCTTCTTTGCAAATTATAAAAAACAATTTGTTAATATCAATAAAACTAAAACCTTCAATTATATCAAATATGAAATTGCTACCAAACTTGCAAAGTTATATAAAAGCTTGCTTCTATCTGATTTTAAAATTATCTTAATTGACACTTTATGGGAACATTCTTTACTTTGTACCAAAGCTGCTCTATTTCATATTCATATTTGCTTATATAGCAAAGATAATTCTTGCACTGTTCTTCCTTTAGACACTGAGCACAATTTTAAAAACTTATCAACAGATTTCTTTAATAAATCATTTGAAAAATTTCCTGCTCCTCTTTTCAACAAAAACACAACTAGGTAGATTAATCCTAAGCTTGACTTTACCATTTTTAACAAAGATCAAAAACACCAAGCTAGCTTTCTTAATGCTACACCTCTCTACTTTTGCTTCACAAACTTGTTGATGAAGTAGAAGAAGAATTTACTAAAAAAAATAACACTGTAAAAAACTTCAAACATCATAGTTTCTATTTTTACTCTTATTTTCATGCTTTTTTCAGAGCAATAACAGAAAATGATAAATTAACAATCTTAATAAACATTAAGCTATTACTAAAATCACAAACAAGCTAGTTAACATGCATTTTTTGCCAAAATAATTACTTACTTTCATATTCTCAAACAACCAACTATCTCAATTCCAGAGATTCTTGAAACATATAAAACTTCAATTTATCCACAAGCACAAAAACTACTTCAAGA